CTGTTTTGCCCAGGCTGGAATGCAACGGCACGATCTCGGCTCACTGCAACCTCCACCTTCCAGGTTCGAGCGATTCTCCTACCTCAGCCTCCTGAGTAGCTGGGATTACAGGTGCGTGCCCCACGCCCGGCTAATTTTTGTATTTTTAATAGGGATGGGGTTTCACCATGTTGACCAGGGTGGCCTCAAACCCCTGACCTCGTGATCCACTTGCCTCAGCCTCCCAAAGTTCTGGGATTATAGGTGTGAGCCACTGCACCCAGTCTATATGATTTTTTTAAAGCTTATTCATTTTTGTCTCCATGTCATTGTGGGAGCAATGGTCTGTCACAACCATCTACATCCTAATGAGAAGGTGAAACTTTGTAGTAGATTTTGTCTTATATGGTTGGGCTTACACAATGCCAATGACAGTGGTGGTTATTCCAAATCCTCTAGTGATTTTGTTTAGGTGTCATTTGGAATTTTCTTTGTCTCAGGTGCTTCAGTTGAAATCCAAACTCCCTGGATATGACTGTACAATGCAGAAGGTGCAGACTGGTGGATACTATCTGCAGATATCTTTTCTTTGACCTGTACTCTGTGTGTATGTGTTTAACTTGAATTTTTGCCAGTATTTAAAAATTGGAAGCTTTCACATTTTAAAATTTCTACATTTTCATTTATGGAGAGTGACCTCTGGCGGCCCAGGTCTTGTGTTCCTGCACAGCCATGATGGTCTGGAGCAGAGAAGTGGCCAACCCCTTCCAACCGGACAGCCCTCTCATTACCTGCCTGTAGGCATACAAGGTTGCATCTCCTTGTCTAATGAATGGGTCCTAGCTGACATTAGGGAAAGCTCCACAGCGGCATCTTATTGCACTTAGAATAAATCCAAGTCCATACCATGACCTAAAAGACCCTACACACTCGGGCCTCTGGCTCCGTCTGACTCATTTCTTCCCATTCTCCCCCGACTCACTCTGCTGCCTGCTTACTGTCCCTCAAGCAAGCCAAACATACCCAGCCTCGGGCCTGGGCTATTTCCTCTGCCTATTGATTTTCCCCCAAATAGTTACATGACTCAGGGCCTAACTTCATCCATGTCTCAACTCCAATACCACCCCACAGAGAGGATTTTCCTGGCCATTCTATCTGGAAGAGCACCACTCAGCAGCTATGCCCTTCCCCTTTATTTTTGTAGCACTTACCTCTACATGAGGGCAAAGACTCTTCTTGGTTTTTTTTGTTTTGTTTTGTTTTGGTGGGGCAGGGGGGAAAGTGTTTTCTGTTTTTTGTTTTTGTTTTAGTGTGCTGATGTACCTCACAGTTGCACCAGTGCCCAGTGCCTGGCACACAAATATTGTCAAATAAGTGGATGAACGAACACTGTGTTTTTGACTCAAGCCATTGGTTCCATAGTTTTCAGACCAATAAGAAAATGGAGCTTCATTAACTCTGACATAATTTCCAACTCTAAATTTTGTCCTTCTCACCATAAACCTCATAATGAGTTACAGATTTCAACCTAGCCACTTGTCCTCTTACAGAATACCAAAAATGCCCATTTTACAGACAGAAGCAGAAAGGAAAGCCAATCACTTAATGCCAGCTGATCAAGATTGGCAGCTTTACATGCATGGGGAAGAGAACAAAGCCAACATGTCCCCAGAAGGGTAAGACAAAGTTAGAATGGTGAAATGGAAGATAAGCATCCAAGTCAAGTGAGGAAAGAAGAACTGCCACTCTTCCTGTTAGCCTGTGGGGGAGTGTATCTGGTGAAGTGGATATGAGATGTGTGACCTAGGAGAATGTCTAGGGGCCTAGGCTACAGAGATGATCAGGCTACTAGACCCTCTGTAGGTCCAGGCATGCCTGCGGAATGAAGGAATGGAGAAATGAACAAAGGTGGGCATTAACTCCAGCAGAGGGTCAATACCATGAGCCAATGCTGACTTGTTTGAGCCATAGGTTCAGATCTGCATTGTCCAATATGGTAGCCACTACCTATGTGTAGCTACTTAGACTAAGTTAAATAAATGAAATTTAAAATTCATTTCCTTTGTTGTACTGTATTTCAAGTGCTCAATAGCTACATCAGGCTACTGTCTACCCAGTGGTACAGACTACAGAACATTTTGCACAAATTCTTTTGGCCAGTTCTGATTAGATACAGTCAAGCACCTGGCTTTCCAGTGTCCAGCCCTATATCCCAGTTGCTTTTAACTCAGATTTCACCATTCTCTTTCTTGCTATAGGATAAGAACCTGGCTGTTTAAAAACATGGAATCAGTGAAGTCCTGAACAGCAGTTCACGACTTGCAACAACTTTCAGCAGCTCATAAAATGGCTGCTCAGCACTCACTTTCCATCTCAGACTCACTTCTTTGGAACTGCTAGCGAGTCTAGGGTACATTTGAGTCCTGGCAGCTCAGGTCCTCCTCTGTGGCAGCTCTTCCCACTGCTCATAGGAGTCCCATACCCACTTCTCAACCATGTCCGGCTGAGCATTACAAATCACCTTCTGTTTAAAAAAAAAAAAAAAAAAAATCTGACTCAGTGGAGTTACTCCAATTCACTTTCTTGTTTGGAATTCCGCACTTCTTTTGATGTTTATCAATACATCACTACCCAGCGTGCTTGCCAAGATCATGTCTAGGCTGTGGTGATCTATCATCTCCCCACAGCATATTCTAAGACGCGTCCCACCCCCTTTAGGGTCTGCAAGGTCCAGGAGTAGCACAACGTGGCAAGATGCCAGGGAAAAAGGACTCCGCTCTCATGAGACATCTTATTCACCAGCCCAGGGCTGCCTTTGAGAGCAGTGTGTATTAGGGAAGGATTCCAAGGAGGTGTGTGACTTTGGAATAATTACAGAGGTCAGCAAAGCAAGTTAGGAAAGCCTGGAAATCATAATTACAGCCAACCCTAGACAAGGTGCTGAAGTTGAGTTTGTCTCGGGCTTCCCTCCAAACTCCCCTGGGAATCTTTTGCTCTGACGTGTCTCCTTTGTCCCCTTCTCTCTAGCTTGTCCAGAACTCTCTATCTTGGCTTCTTACTCCTCAGGGAAGCTTCTATTTGGCTCTTTTTCTCCCATGGAAACTTGGTTTCTTTCCCATTAGGCTCTGCTAGTTAAGACCAGCCAGTTAATGGGACAAGCTAATTTACTTAAAAGCACGAGTCCTTCACCTGGTCCAAACGCGGGCTTCAGAGGGAGATGAAGACCCAAAGGCATTACAATTTTGTGTGCCCGTTTTCTAGAGGAAAGAGTCACAGATTTCACCAGATTCTAAACTAAACACATTCTAAACCCTTGACCCCCCAAAAAAGGTTCAAGTCACTGTGGGCTAATACTGAGAGCCGGTAACAGCAGGGGGGTTTCTTCTGATGTGATGTTTGCATTTTAATCACAGCGCAATGGAGAAACTACCATCTGTTACGTATTTTTGCCTCAGAAAAAAATAATGGGAGAGTTTTCAGTCCAGAGGCAAGAAAGGTAGGAAAAAACTGGGGCAGGAAACAGGGCCTCTTGTTTGCTTTTGAGATCACAACCAAACACCCCCATTTAGGAGCAAGAGCATCTTCATCTTCTCTTCTTAGTAGCACGTGTTTCTCTTTGAACACAAAACATTTCCACTCATGTAAAATGTACTTTCTTTAGAAATTCCAAAGAAACAAATCAGGCTTAGGACGCCATTCATGTTCTTCATTACAGATCGACTCTGCAACAAAGTGGCAGTAGGGCATGACGAGGGAACAGGAGACAAGGTTTTAGTTCCAGCTCTCCTGCTAATTTGCGGAGCATCTTTCCAAGCTTGGCTTAGCCTCTCTGGGCCTCAGTTTCCTCATCTCTAAAAAATCTGGGCAGTCTTCACTAGTCCTATGATTCTAAGATGCTGCCAAAAGTCTATGCGAAATAATATTTCTCTACTCCCCTTTTATTGGTACTGAGAGGTTGTTTTCATATTCGAAGAGAAAAAATATCCAACCAAACACCAAGTTGTTTTCTTTCCTTTTAATACATTTGCATCTTGTCCAAAGGAGCAAAACCTGCTCTTAAAAGCTTCAAAACAGTTTGTGGTGGATTGCAATTCTTGTCTCAGAAAGATTAATTGGAAACGAAATCTAAGGAAGAAAATTCAAAGCCCATTTCTACGCTTCCTGCCTTTTAGATCTTCTAACATGTAAATCGACCGTTACAAAGAGGATTAGTTATTAGAATAGTCTGCGTGAAGACCAACATTCAGCTCCCTGTTTATTCCTCGCCAGAGCATCCTGGGTGACCAGCATCTTAATGGCTTTCTTTTCAGTTTGTGAGAGGATGAACTGCATACTAACTCCAGATCCTGTGTTCCCCAACTTTAATTTAACCACAACCTTAACAAACTGGAGATTCTTCTCCACCCCCAAATTGTGCTTTCAATTAGAACAAACCTGGTGCTCCAGACATCCACACCAGGAAGCCACAATTATCCTCAAAGACTTAAAGCTACTTTTAATCTCTGGATTTGTGTTGGTCTCTTCCATACTCATTTCTGCTATATTCCTTATCTGCTTCATCTTTTTTTTTCTTAAGTCCTAAGTGGTGGTGGTGTTTTTCCCTCAAAAATTCCCTATGAGACTGTATTTTCTAATGACTTAGTTCTCCGTATCACTGGTCTCCTTGTACCTCCTCTCTTCTTCTAATACAAAGAACTTCTTAGCTAGCAACCTCAACTATTCTAACACTATTGAGAATCAGGAAACGAGCAAGGAGCTGGATCAAATCGCCAATATGGATTAATCAGAAGATTTGTAATAAGTTAGCCTTCACTCAAACCAGTTTGCTTTTGCATTGCGCATAATTCTATCTACAAAAAAAAAGCAAGTGTCAAATGTGTAAGAGGGTGGAAAAGGGGAAGGGCCAGGCAGGAATGGAAGGAGAGAGGTCTCTGAGGGCTAGATGCCAGCCACGCAAGATGCCAATGGGAAGCCTGGCAGTGATAAAGGAAATAAAAGGCAATAAAGAAAGAGTAACAGGGAAATCAAAGAACCTCTGCAGTCTGGAATACTTAACGGTGAGATACAGAGACCCATTAACCCCAGCGGTAAGTAATCTGGATTATAGCATGTCTAGAATGGGCTTACAATGAATTATCAATTTAGCTTGGAACCAGAACAAAGCTGATAAGCTGATGGGAAAGAACTATTTCACCTAAGCTCCCACTAGTCACTGTTCCTTTTTTATTTTAATAATAGTTGAGCACATAACTGTTCAGAATAAAGTCTATATAGTTGTCCCTTGATATTGATGAGGAATTAGTTTCTGGATCTCCCTCAGATCCTAAAGTCCATGGATACTCACGTCCTTTATATAAAATGACATAGTATTTGCATATAACCTACACATTCCCTCCCATGTACCTTAAATCATCTCTAGACTCCTCATAATATCTAATACTATGTAAATGCTATATAAATCATAATACTGTATTGGTTAGGGAATAATGACAAGGAAAGTGACTGTACATGTTCAGCATGGATGCAATTTTTGCTGAACACTTTTGATCTTCAGTTGGATGGATCCACGGATGCAGAACTCACAGATACGTAGGGCCAGCTGTGTTTCCCATCCTCCCTTGCAGTTGGGTACAGCCAATGGAATATGATTGCAGGTCATGTGGACAGCTTCCAAGTCATGCTCTTCTTTAAGGGAACCCTCAGACTTTCCAGTCTCCTCACCTGCTGGCTGGGATGTGCACATGGTGATGGAGTGGGGACAACCAGCCACACATTGAGGGTGACAGACCAACAAGAAAGAGCCTGGGTTGCTGCCACAGTGGAGCCACCATGTCACCTTACACTGCTTATGCTTGATCTGTTCCTTGATAAGAATATAACCTTTTCTTGTTTAAGCCATTAATATTTTTGTTTTTACCAACAGAACCTACATCCTAACTAATAAACAAGTGAAATTTTATTACTTCTAAGTAGGAATGTGACTTGAAATATCCCAATGATTATGCCTCAAACACCACTTTCTCTCTGTCCTGTGGTAATGGCTTCATGAAGAAATGGAAAAAGTAGAATTTGGAGTCAAACCTTGGCTCCATTCCTGCCGAATTTTTCTTCACCATAAATGCACATCGTAAGAGTTAGTACTTATTAGATGCTTCTGTGCTGTTCCTGCTTCTGTAACCATCTCATTTAACTCTCAAAACTACCCTATACAGTAGGTATTATTATTACCCTACGCAGTAGGTATTAATGCTCCAGTCTTTAAAGATGGAGTTAAGCATCTTTCCTGAGATTTTTCAGCTAGTGAGAGGCAAAATTGGGTTTTGGAGTGAGAGAGCTGGATTTGAGAATCCACAGCTTTTAACTATTTCCCTTTGCACTTAACTTTCTGCATTGGTGGGAGAGCAAGGTTAAGTACAAAACCCAGAACACAGTCATTTCTTCACAAACTGGGGACACTACTGGATGATGCTAACCAGATTCTGACAGACTGTCTCTTTGAGTGTAGGGACCACATTACCTGCTGACCACCTTAGCTCCAATGCAACATTCTTCCAGGAGGTGAAGGGCCCTAAAAGTCTTTGATTAATTGCTTACTTAACCAGGGAAGTTTGCTTTCTCCTCCTGTTTTAAGTTGATTTTTTTAGTCAAAATCTCAGAGCCCTTCGTCTTTCCAAGGCCACGTCCTATAATGATAATTCTGAGTCACTAAAAAAAGTTTAGATTCTGCCTAAAATGTTTCAGAAGGCAGGAAATGTACCCAAATAGTAAACTCACATACTAAGAGAGGACTCCCCTACACATGAGGGAGACAGACAAACTCCAGCCGTCTGGTCTTTCCTTTCTTACACAGGAGGGAGAAAGAAGAAATAAATACTTCTTGGTGCCAAAAAGGAGGTTCTGGAGCTTAAGGCTTGTCAGTGCTCACAAAAGGAAAAAAAGAAGAAATGCAAGTGTGAGAAGAAGGAAGAGAAAGAGGAAAAGAAAGGAGGAAGAAAAACATGCGATCCCTGCAGATTTCTCCTAAAATGGATAAAGGGGAAAATGAGGGTGCTTTGAAAGGTAGGTTCTGCTTTCTGTCTAAGAGTCATTCTGCTCCCACCCCCCACTGCATCAGTGCATTGAGTGGGCAGTAGGCAGGTGGGATACTGCACATGTAGAAGCCCCCTGAAAATTGCCAAGGCCCCCAGGACTGTGATCCTTCTCTATCTGGCCTAGATAGGAAACATTTCTATCTCATAGTGCTAGAAAAATGCATTATCCCCATGTATTAATCCCTCCTCACGCTGATAATAAAGATATTCCTGGAGCTGGGTAATTAACAAAAAAAAAAAGAAGATGTTTAATGGACTCACAGTTCCACATGGCTGGGGAGGCCTTACAATCATGGCAGAAGGCAAAGGAGGAACAAAGGCATGTCTGACACGGTGGCAGGGAAGAGTGTATGCAGGGGAACTCCCCTTTATAAAACCATCAGATCTTGTGAGACTTATTCACTATCAGGAGAACAGCATGGGAAAACCTGCCCCCATGATTCAATTACCTCCCACAACACTGGGGACTATGGGAGCTATAATTCAAGATGAGGTTTCAGTGGGGACACAGCCAAACCATATCACCCCATTTCACAGGTAAGGAAATTGAATCTTGATGATGACAACCAACTTGTCCATGATCATACTGTTATTAAATTAAATGATGGAGCTGACTTTTTTCTTTTTTTGAGACAGAGTCTCACTCGGTGGCCCAGGCTGGAGTGCAGTGGCATGATCTCGGCTCACTGCAACTTCAACTTCCTAGGCTCAAGTGATCCTTTCACCTCAGCCTCTCAAGTAACTGGGCTGCAGGTGCACACCACCATGCCCAGCTAATGTTTTTGTGTTTTGTAGAGGCAGGGTTTCTCTATGTTGCCCACGCTGATCTCAAACTCCTGAGCTCAAGCAATCTGTCCACCTTAGCCTCTCAAAGTGCTGGGATTCCAGGCATGAGCCACTATGCCCAGCAGACCTGGGATTATTTTTTTTTTTCTTTTTTTTTGAGACAGAGTTTCCCTCTTGTTGCCCGGGCTGGAGTGCAATGGCGCAATCTCGGCTCACCACAACCTCTGCCTCCCAGGTTCAAGCAATTCTCCTGCCTCAGCTTCCTGAGTAGCTGGGATTACAGGCATGAGCCACCACGCCCAGCTAATTTGGTATTTTTAGTAGAGACGGGGTTTCTCCATGTTGGTCAGGTTGGTCTCGAACTCCCGACCTCAGGTGATCTGCCTGCCTCGGTCTCCCAAAGTGCTGGGATTACAGGCATGAGCCACCGTACCTGGCCAGATCTGGGATTTTTAAACTCAAGACTGTCAGTTGTCCACACCCACTGAAAAATACGGTTCATTTTATATATAGCACCAATATTCTCTTTGGATTACTTCTTTAACTAACTAGCAATTATTCAAGTGTCTTTCTTTTTTTTATTCAACATTTATTAAGTACCAACTATGTCCAGTGGTTAAGATATAAAGACATGACTCCTCCTGTCATTAGATTTACAGACTGATGGAGAAGGCGAAGATGAACCAAATAAGGGCATTAAAGTGGTAAAGTGGGCCTGATGCAGTGGCTCATGCCTATAATCTCAGCACTTTGGGAGTCTGAGGTGGGCAGATCACTTGAGGCCAGTAGTTCAAGACCAGCCTGGCCAACATGGCGAACCCCTGTCTCTCCTAAAAATACAAAATAAAAAAAATTAGCCAGGCGTGCTGATTTGCATACACCTGTAATCCCAGCTACTCGGGAGGCTGAGACATAAGAATTGCTTGAACCTGGAAGGTGGAAGTTGCAGTGAACCAAGATCACACCACTGCATTCCAGCCTGGGTGACAGAGTGAGACTCTGTCAAAAAAAAAAAAAAAAAAGAGTAAAGTGGTAAAGTGCTACAAGTACTATGAAAAAAGTATTTGCCGAATTCAGTAATAACAAAAGTAATCAGTGTTATTGAGTGCTTGCTATGTGCTAGGCATAGTGTTGAGAGATTTGCCTATGGTGTTAGAAGAAGGTGACCAAAAAAAAAGCAATTCATTTTCCTGACGCTGGGATTAGTTTGCCAGATTTTGCAAATAAAAATGTAGAATCCCCAGTTAAATTTAAATGTCAGATAAAACAACAACTTTTTTAGTATAAGCATGTCTCGTGCAGTATTTAAGAAATACTTATACGAAAATATTATTCATAATTTATCTGACATTCACGTTTAACAAGGAGTGCTATATTTTATCTGGCAATTCTAGATGATGAGAGTAAAGCGGTAGTAGAGTATGTTTTATAGAAAAGTTGACTCTTGAAGGTAAGTAGTTTCCCTCCAGATTTGGGGAAGAGGAGAGAGAAGAAAAGGAGGGAAGCAAGGACTATTGAGTCTTTGAATTAGGAATAATGACCATGGAAACTATAAACTTTCAAAAGAGCCATAGAATTGCTTTAACAGGGATGTGTTAAGCCACCTCGAAATCATTTCATTTTTAGAAATAAGTAAAAAAGACATTAGCTCATTTATTTTGTCACTTTGTAAATATAAGATTGCCTATCGAGTTCAGTTGAAGTAGAAATAACTATGTCTGTGAAAAGCTCCTGATCGTTCTCACTTATAAGTGGGAACTAAATGATAAGAACTCATGAACACAAAGAAGGAAACAACAGGCACTGGGGCCTACTTGAGGGTTGAGGGTGGGAGGAGGGAGAGGAACAGAAAAGATAACTATTAGGTACTGAGATTAATACCCCAGTGATGAAATAATCTGTACAACAAACCCTCATGACACGAGTTCACCTACGTAACAAATCTTCACATGTACCCTTGAAGCTAAAATAAAAGTTTAAAAAAGAAGAAAAGCTCATGATTGCCAAGCAGGCACTCAGGATGTGGGTTCCATCTCTTCACAAATAATAGGAATGCTGTGCTTTTAAGGATCACCCCCTGCCCCCTCAAAGAAAAGATCAAAATAAAAGAGAGGAGGTAGAGTGTGGAGGAAATAATAGCAATCACACATTCCCATGACCGACCAGCTGATTGGGTTGAACCATTGCCTCTCTGTCCATTTCAGCTTCCTCATTGTGAACTTACAAGGTCCCCCTGGCTGATATCTGAGGACCCCTCTGGCCCTCACAATGATCTAGTTGTAAGTAATGTGGCTAAATCAAGTCAGCTATGAGGTCAACCTCATGGGAGGCAGCTTGGTTCTCCAGTCTTCCTAACAGTTCTATAAGCTCCCAATATTCTTCCAGAAAATTTGCTTTTGCTCTTTTTAGCTAGAGCTGGTTGCTGATGCTTTCAACAGAAAACTCAAGGAACTCCAGACCACTGGGAAGTGGGTAGAGTCAGGGTGCCAATGTCAATTACGTTTGTGGAACTCAGGGCTAAACAAAGCTACACCATATTCTTTACTGCAGGTTTTCTCAGACTCTTTTTCATGGCCACGTCTTTGTGACTTTCCAAATGAGAATAGCGTATTTGGAGTTTCCTAAACCATCTCTATCACAGATCCTTTTGGTTGTTGTTTTATTAAAGCGATTTGGAGGACCTGTAGCCTGGGCTTCCTGGCTTCTGAGATGTTTCACTTTCATCTTTAAGTGTTATACGTGTGTAAACTCTGACCTACTAGCCAATTTTAGGATCTTACATGAAGAAACCTTATTGTCCACTTTCCTTCACCCTCACAAAATACTGGGCATAAACTGATTACTACAGTAAAGCAAAATCATACTTCAAACTCCTTGTGATGCAGCTATCCCATAACCACAGAGGTTTAATGTGATTAAAGCCACAATAAATCGCAGACGTTCTTCATGAGGCCAAGAGAGTTGATCCATGTCACGTTGCCAAAAAGCAATTTTCATGATTCCTTTCTGCCTGCCCAGGATTCCTGTGGTTTCCACTAGTAAAGTGATCCCTCATTTCCTGACATTATTGCTCTGTTACTGCCATTCCCTGCATTGTATCACGGGACTCCTGGAAGGGTCAGCTGCCATGGGGATACAGACAGGATGCACTCCCAGGCATAGCCAAATATTGATTATCCACAGGAGGTTTAACCACAGCTCCATCAGCAAACTGTGGTTATCAATGACGTGATCACTGCCACTAAGGACACTCTGCTCAACCCAATGTTTTATTTAATTCAAAACTTTTATCAAATTTGTACCAAACTCATACCACATGCCAAACTTTGTAAGATTATCTCATGCTTTCTGCTTCTTACCCTATATTAACTCTTGAGGAGCTGCTGGGACATAGAAATTCCTGTAGTATATTGTCCAGAGAGCAGGGACTCTGGCCTGAAAGAACTGCAGATTCCTAACTCAACCTAGTGTCCTCTGGGTAGAGAAGGCAGGTGCTCCTTGGCATTGTGTGTTTGAACTACAAAAATAGACACACAAAATGTAGGTTTAAACCTGTAAAGAAATTTTTAAGCAAACCTTTCTGACAAAAAAAAAATTGGTCTCAATTTGGGGCTAGAAATTTTTCATTCCTGGGACTTTCTTCAAGAAAGAAGATTCACTTAATGCAAAATAACTGTTGAACTAAAAAGAGGAGGAGAATACATTCTATGTCTTAGTATTCATAACTAAGCACCTTGCTTAGAATGCTCGCATGCATATTACATATATGTACATACATTACACGCACATTTTAACATGTGAAATAAACATTGTAAGATGGCTACTTTTATTAGTATTCTCACTTTATACAGGAGGAACTTAAGACACAGGAGGTTAAAAATCTTGACAAAGGTCATATTGTTAGTAAAAAACAAAGTTGGCACTGACTCCAATGGTTATTACACATACAGGTACTGTGTTTTATTCCTAAGAGGTCTGCTGAGACATTGATCCCATCCACCCTCCAGGGGAAGATGGAGTCCCTAAACCCAGTAGCCTCTGGTCATG